ATATCAAAAATAAATTAAAAATCTGATGCTTTGCCGAATAAGAAAACTCTAAGAACTAGCCGTGTGCAAGGCCACATGGAGAAGAGATTAAAAATCTCATGTCTCATGCAACAGCAGTACTGCCAAAGCGAGTGGATGATATGTGTGTAAGGTAAACAAACCAATTCTTGCCGTTCGTGAGAAACAGAGAGACATACAGCGCATAGTACTCAGAACACGTTCTCGACGTAATCTCCATCGTGAAGATCGAATTTTTCAATTTCACTGAGTAGCAGCAGAAGTGCAACAGGTTTTTTAGCATTCTCGAGACCATTATGCTGCTATAGAAAGCCGAGTTTCAAGGGTCAGTGTTTCTAGAAGACTACTTGAGATAGTTCTATTTGAATTCCGCTCAATTCCATGCTTAAGAGAGCTCGTTTCGCATTGTGCAGAGAATATCAGCTTTGAACCAAGCATCAATAGTGGACCATTCTCTTTAGAGATGAGTCCCAATTCAGCCTAAGCAATGATTCTATACGTACATTCATTTGGAGAAAACCAAAGCAATGATTCTATACGTACATTCATTTGGAGAAAACCAGGCATCTGAAGACTGTTCTCCAACACCTAAGAAAGCGACTAGTATGACAGCGGTCTCATGGTTTGCGTACACATCACACCTGTTCTGTTGTATTGGCGCAAAGACAATGATATCTTTGACAAAGGCTCTTTTACTGTTGCGAGCTACAGGAATGAGGTCTTGGCTCCGTATGTTCGCCTTTTCAGGGGTCCGTGTGGCCCTCAGTTTATTTTTGTAGATAACAACTTTTCTACACTGAGCTAATCTAGCGGATGATTTTTCTGAAAAGTGGGAGCATTTACTAAACAGAATGGCGAACCAGATCACAAGAACTCTGTAGACATTATCCGGAATTGTCTTCGAAAGCAATATATCTCAGCTTCTCCCCACTCGGAACCCCTCTATATCTGAAAACAGCGTTGCAGCAGCAGCGGGACCGACTGCCACAAAGACCCGTAAACTGTCTTATTCCTAGTAAGAAGTTAACACTGTGAGAGTTAAATGACTGTTAAAGTGGATAATGTTTGACCTTGCGACCTCTGTTTTAGAACTCCCTGCCCAAGTAACTCAATATTATGCGTGCGTTGCACAACTGTAATACACTTTTTGTATTATATTAACCTATGTCCATACCAGATTTCATTAAAGTCGGTTCTTCACTTCTAGAGATTATCAACCAAATGTGAAAATTGTCTTAATTTTTAACATCGTGTAACTTCTGCTAAGGTCTCCTTTAAGAAGGGTAGGATTATCTTGCCTTTCACATACTTTCAAAGAAACAAATCGCTGACGTTAGATCGGGTGCCTTTGGGGGGGCAGAGCAACATTGTCAGAGCATTACATCAGCATGGCTTGTCTAGCGTCCTGGAAGATGCTGGTTAAGATAGTCTAGCACATAGCTACAGGGCCAGCAGTCCTCTTTTTGCAGTGTAACTCTTAACTGTGCCGATGTAGGGGGCACTTTCTTATTTCATAAATGAAATCATTTATCTCTTCTTCCCTTTGGGAAAACAACCACTTGGACTGCATGTGAATGCTGTAACAATAGAAGTGAACCTTGCAGTAAAAGAACCCTATTCTTCTGCATTGTTAAAGAAAAAAGATCGAAACACATTGCAGACGGTTATGGCGCAGAAAACGTTTATCTTGGAAGAATGACGTTTATGTTCCAAAATCATATGCAAATTTTCCATTCACCAGAATCTCAAATTATGCTTGTTCACTTTGTTTCACGAGTGAAACATAGCTCCGTTTCGGTCTACGAAACCATCCATTTTATCCACGCGTGCAAATTCATTCAAAAATTTTCTGTTTTGATTTATCGGTAGTTTTCTGCACTCATACCAAGTGAAATTTCTTAGGATGGAACTGCAGAAGCTTGTGTAACACGCTGAAAAATATTTGTGAAGTTAAGTAGCAAAAGTGTTGTCTTATTTTAAACCTGTCCCTCTGATCAGTGTATCTTTAGCGATGTTGGCTTGCAAATTGTGTATGTGCAGAGTGGAAGCAGTTAAAATCCTGGTGAGGTGAAAGTTCTCGTGGGAAGTTTAGTAGTAGGCAAAGAGGTGTAGAAGATCCTTGGATCCGTAGCCTGCGTTGTTCTTCATAGAGTTGAAAAAAGCCGCTCTTATATGGGATCGGATCAGAATTGACTGAACTCAATCAGTTCGACTTACAACCCACTAAAAATAACCTTGATGAAAAACATCAGGAGCAAGGAAGGAATCAAAGGCGATTAGCGAGATTGGAGAGAAGAATGGAAAGAATCGAACGAGCAGTGAGTTCGGAAGAATCGACTAAATTATGAATCTCTGAACTTATTTCTTTCAGCTGTACTTTTGATGTTCTCTAAAGCTTCCTTTCTACATAGAACTGACAATAAAATTCTAGAATAACTATTTTTTCAAAAAGTTAGGAAATGTTAAAAAATGAAACTCACATGTTAAAAATGAAATTCACATGGGAGAATAAACATTCTTTTCTCCCGTAAAATGAGAATATAACTTTCCTGGTAAGGTTTCAACAAGAGCTCTCAATGGATGAACTCCAAAAAAATCTCTATCCCCCCCTTTTTTTTTCCGAATCAGACCTTCGCTTGCTCAGTGAATAGAATCAGTTTGTGCACGAACAGCACATCTGTGTTCTTGGTATGCTTCCAATAGGGGCGCTCCGTGAACTGAAAAGAACTACTACTCCGTTTTCTGGAATTAAAGCTCAGTAAAATTAATCTGTTCTTTGAAACATTTTCGAACCGAATGGTTCAACTCTAGTTCGCCATCCAAACAGGATCGGAACTGTAAGATACTCAAGTCAAGTACTGGTTTCCCACCCAATTCTTCCTCTTCTGTCCTATCGTATTTCAAGCCTTGAACATATGTGACCTTAGACGACAAACTTTCATCTTCAGCTGCGGACAAACAGGTCACTTCAGACAAACAGGTCAGCGTTTTGACCTGTTTGTGCCGAATGTACAGTTATTTAAGAATATTTGTATGATATCTCTACATTCATAGCAAATACCATATAGTTATTCGCTTTGGCATGAAATAAAACTGAGTTAATAGGTAATTACAAAATGCCGTGAAGCTTGTAGCAATGGTATAAAAAAAAATTCAATTTTTTCTGAAAACTGTTCGGTTGATGATGATAGCACCTGTTTGGAGGTAGCTGTAGGTTTATTATAACTGGAATCAACGTATTCTGTTCCATTCTGTTCCATAGACTCTCTTTAAATTATGGCCTTATTAAAACAAACTGCACCGAATATTCATAAGCATGTACTATTCGCCAAATTTGCATTATTTTAGAATTTTTACACTATGAAGGCTCTGTCGAATCTACTGTGGCACCTTTTCCTTCATGCATAAACACATTTGTTACATTCATCTGCAATTTGCTTCTAACTAAAGCTTTGCCTTTTCGTTTTTATTGATTTTTCTGTCGCACGGTTAACTTTTAAAAAGTTACCGTATTACCTAATTTACATTTAGCTGTAATTTGCAGTGCGAAAGCTCTGTCAAATCAACCTTGGTACATCCAGTTATTGTAACATTATGTAGTACTAAATCTGTATTACTAGTGTTTAATTTACCATGAAGTTTGTTGAAATGTATGTTTGCAGTAAAATTGTTCAGCTATTTAATGGGAACGTTTTTTTAAAGAATATATGCTTAAAGTTTATGTACAGCATTACAGACATAGGTTCCATTCATTCACCCTTTATTTGACAATGTATCTTTTGCTTGAGAATCTGAATGTGAAAATAAATTTATAGTTTTGCTCTTTGAAGATCTTGAGCTCTGCATATCAAAATCAAAATGTATTTTAAAATTTCAATAAAAGTGTTGTAAGGTTTTGCTACGCCTAGAGGGTTGCGTCAATGTCCTGTAGACCCCATTAGACTGGAAGCGAGTTATCAGTTTAGTCTGAAACAAGTCACCAAGTCTTACGAAGTTTTGAATCACCTTTTTATTTAACTCTTAGATGAATAGAAGAGAGAGTGTCTACTTGTGAGAGACAAACCTTCGCTACTTGCGAGTATTTAATATAAGATAAAGTTAAATTCAAATATAGGTAATGTAATATAAGACTACACGTATAGTAGACTGCTTAAGGTGGGGGTAACGATGCGTATTTTAAACGTCAGTTAGCAAGATGCTAAAGCCGCATAACTTTGACTGGTCTGGCGATATTAAGAATAAGCCGGGGCTGCCAGAAGCTCTAACTCTTAAACATTCAAACCCTCAGCTTAAATAACCAACAACTAATTTGCATTCTGGTGAGGACTATGGGAAGAAGAAATTAAAGTAAAGGTTCAACTCATAATAACTGGTTAATTAGCATAAAATCATATAGGTAAACAGTAATTTGGTGCCCAATTGGAGCAGATTATACAATAGGATCCATTAGCTTGAACTAACTTGCCTACAGCTATTTGGATTATAACTTTATTCGGTTAATACATGAATATATTTTCGACATATGTAGAAGATATACGCATGAAAGTAATAAATAAATGTAGATAAAAATTTCAGCTTTGAGTAGGCATGTGTTTTATAATCACTGTATCGATTTCGAGGAATTCAGACAAAGAAAGCTCTCCTTCTTCACATAGTAAAAGTACTATTTAAAGAGCAAATCACCTTTCCTCCTGAAAGAAAAGGGACCTTATTCCCTCAGAATGCTGCACATGTTTCTGTTTAATTTTTTGAAGGCAATATCATCATTATTACCTGTACATGTGACATTTTCAAGTACTTTTGTAACCAAAGCCTTCTATTAATGGAAAATGCAAATTTTCCTATTGATTTCTCTAGTAATTTTTTGTTTTTAGGAAACCCTAATAATCCTATGCATGTTAATCGTCCGTGATACGTTTGTCGTTAATTTTTTTCTATTTAATCATTCTCCTCCTTCATACTTATTTATTTATATCGTTAAGTGGAACCGTGCGTTGGATTTCAACTGGACTCATCTTCTTCTCATTATCACTCCTATCTTAATGACTGCATTCTTCCTTACGAAGAGAAGATGTTTAAAAACAGAGCCCCTCCCTGGTCCAAGATCAAGAGCCTTGATATTATATTGCATGATGATGAAGACAGTTTACTGTGGAAAGGAGAAGTCTATGAACTCATTATGTCGTAAGTAGCTTCTACGTCAAATGTAAATTACGCTTTTAATTTAAAATTGATTATAGAGGCGAAATATTCAGTATATGCATTCATTTATGCTAACATTGAATATGACATGTTAAATCTCAAAAACATTCTTTCTTAAAGACAGCGGTTCTTAATATACAATTCATGTAACGCATTGCGGATATCGTATTTCCTAGCTTTAGAGATATCCAGTTAGTACGAGAACCGTGTACAGATATTAGGTAACTTTTTGAAAGCAGGAAATATGAAAAATTTGCAAAGCCTTCGCCGGGAATCTAACCGCGGACCTCTGGAATATGCGCCCAGAGTGCAGACCACCACACCACGAAGGCATGCCAAGAAGGTGGGAGAAATACCTTATAACCGTATATGCTAAAAGCGCAAGAAACCCATTATAAATATAACGTAAATTTGCACTAATCAGTAAGGAATGACATCCCGGTAAAACTAAGAACATGCAAGAAAACAACGATATAGGTGTCTAGATAAATTGAAGTCGAGAACTTTAAAAGTTAAAGCAGAAGGGTTTTGGTAATGCAGTACAAGTTGCATCTAATTGAAATGCCTGTACATTTTTTCTTATCTGCTACAAACCTACATGTTAAATAGAAATAATAATAAAGCATTTAGATACCTCCTCATGATATAATGTTTTTAACGCTTTTTCATTTTTCTTTTCTCGTTTAAGAAGCAGGCAATTTACTTATCTTTTCTGCTCTGAATATTTATTTATATTTTTGTAATATTCTAGTGCTGCTGCAAGTAGCAAGTGGCTTATGTCAGATGTTTGAAAAGGAAAAACTCTTTAGAATTTTTGTGGCTACAAGACCTTTTGTATTCTTCTACAAACCAGAAACAGTAGAGGTAAGTTAATGCAATTCTTTTATTCATCTCTCTCCAGAAGTTTCATTTTATGGACTTCTATATCACATGCATGATCTATTTCTATGCTTTGACAACTAGAATGAAATACAACTATGTAATTATTTGTTTTATCAGTTATACGACAGAACACCGAGTAATGTATATGCCATTTGCTACAAAAGCTCAAATACTGCAGTCTTTGCGCTAAACACAAATAAGAAACAAAGATTACTGGCAATTTTTATAGCAGCAGTGTTTAGGCACTTTTGCGGTTGCTGTGCAGAAAATTAACCAAGCAGCTAATTATGTAGTTTCTATTCAGATGTTTTGCTAAAATGAAACAAAATATCAATTAATGCTTTTTCTTTGCTTCTTCGTTTGAAGGGGAATCGGGTATATAAAGTAATGCAATATGCCAGCGATTCCCAACCTTTTGACTAACGCGTACCACCTAAACAAAAATTGGAAACCTTTAATACCACCGACTACATTTCACAATGATTATTTTTCAGTTTCTGAATAGAAGTATTAAAAAAAATCTGAAAGCTTTCAGATTTTAAATTACGCCCAAAGGGACTTTTTTTAAACGTTTTGTGTGTTACCTTTATTTATTAAATATCATGTTCGTCGCACTTAAACCATAAAATTCAATTCAAGACCAATATCAAGAATATAGTTTAAAAAGAGCACTATCTTTAGAAATTTCCGATACACAGTCTCACGCACTAGAAATAAAAATGCATATACACAGTCCTACGCGCTGAAGATAAAAAAATTTTTCCCGTACAGTGTTGCCATTGTTCGCTTTGAATTCGTTGAGTTAGCTAATCAAAATTTCGTTAAAGTGTTACAAAATATGAAATCTATAATAAAACAAATTCCAAATTATGGCTTCCAGATACCCATATTCCGTGGAGGTCACGTTATTCAAAATTTGATGGCTCTAGGTACCATTGTTTTATCACATTGCGAGAAACAAACATACCTTTATGCAGATTCTTCATTATTTAATTTCTTTAAATATAACACAGGGAGATAATATTTGGTAGCAACAATTTGAAAAGTGAGCGAACATTGTAAGTTTTCAACACAAAATGCCAAAACGAAGTAACAGTCCTCTGTCCTAACGCCCTTTGGCCTAAAAAAAGAAAGAAAATCTGAATGCTTTCAGATTTTACAATACGCCCAAAAGGGCGTTTTTTTAATGTTTTGAGGGTTACCTTTGTTCATTAAATATCACGTTCTTCGCACTTAAGCCATATAAGGTATTTCTCCCGCTTTCCTAGCGTGCCTTCGTGGTGTGGTGGTCTGCACGCTGCGCGTACTCCAGAGGTCCGCGGTTCGATTCCCGGCGAAGGCGTTGTTAATTTTTCATCTCTCCGGCTTCCATAGGATACCATAAGATACCTAATGTCTGTACAACCACGTAAAATCAAATTCAAAAACAATATCACAAAATACTTAAAAACAGCATACCTTTAGAATTTCCGATACGCAGTCTCGCGCGCTGGAGATTAATTTTTTTTTTTTTTTCTTTCTTTTCGTACAGGTTTGCCATTGCTCGTTTTGAAATCGTTGAGTTTATCAAAATTACCGTAAAGTTTTGCAAAGTTTGAAATTGATATTAAAACAAATTCAAAATTCGGGCTTCCAAGTGGCCATGTTCGGTTGGAAGACTATTTTATTCAAAATTTGATGGATCTAGGTACCGTTGTTTTTTCACAATGCAAGAAATATTCATGCAGATTCTTCATTATTTAGTTTCTTTAAATATAATACATGGCGATAATATTTGGCGACAACAGTTTGAAAAGTGAATCGACGCAAAATGCCGTTTTGAAATTAATAGCCCTTCTGTGCTAACGTCCTTTAGGCTAAAAAATATTTTTCCATTTACACAACCTATTGGCTATTTGAATTAAATATGCACACAGAAAAATATTAGATTAAAAATTGGTTACCATTTTAATTATCAAAATAAGTTATAATACTTTTAATTCTATACTTTAGTGCGAAATTTGGGCCTGTTTAAGAGAAATCAATTTCTTTATGTCTGGTCTTATTTTACGTAGTTTTAAGCGTAAATTAGAATCCACATTTAATTTTGTTTTGTTTTATGATTTATTTTCAAAATTCGTTTTTTTTTAATATTTTTTATAAATTTTTTAAAAAACTTTTTGTATTATAACCTATAAAAATTGTAACGTCATCTTAATGTGTATTTCTAAGCATACTTGCAAAAAATTAGAGTTTTTTTATTCAAAGCTTTCAAAGATGTACATGAATTTATATATTGATGCATTTTGAAATTTGGCATATTAATTATAAGTGATCATTAGTGAAATACGCATTTTGTTAAATTTATTTGAAAGGGTGAACCATGCCTTTTCTTTCCGCTCGTGCGCAGTGAAAAAAAGGAAAAGGAAAATAGGTTACTACACATTAAAGAAGTTCGAAACGTGAATTATTCTTTGCGCAAACTGAAAAAAATGCGCCAAGATAAATTTTTAAATTTCTCACCAAAAATTACAAAATTTAATATCTAGGCATAATTTGAGTCGTAGAATCGAAATATGTAAAAAATATATGGTATGTTATTTCTGAAAAAGTCCGATTTTGTGTCAAAATACCTATGTTAGAATAATGCTATATATGAGTCTAATATGTATATCCCAAGTCGCGCTTTCGAGATATGAAAACTGTGAGTTGAATTTCGTCAATCGGCCCAGTAGAGCGGAAACAGTCTCATGTTTTCTTTTTTTTTTTTTTTTTTTGTGCAGTTTACATGGGTGAGGTAATTATGCAAGGTTTTCCTCACCAGGGTTATCTGAGGGTTATCTTCACGCTGAGCTCAGCATAACAGCAAGTATCAAAGTATCAAATGAAGCTTCATTTCGCACGCAGACAGGAGGTTACAGGATGACCGACTACACGAACTGAGAGAAAAATGGTCGAGCCACTCAGAGGTTGTACGTCCAAAAGTATATGTTGAGGCGAACTCCCGCCCGTACCATTTCTGCGCGCCTCCACCAGCAATTATGTGACAGCGGCTCTGTTAATAAGGCCTCCCATAATCGTGATCGAACGACACATACACCAGCCGACGAGGAAACTGTGCTAGTCTGGCAGAGGGCGTTCCCAGTAGAAGTACATTAGCTATCGCGAATGAAATCGGGATTTGGCGCTACAGCCCTGTGGAGGATTCTGAATAGCAGTGACATGCATCTATATCACTTACAGCGTGTCTAGTTATTGGGAGAATGTGACTTTCAACCTTGTCAGGAGTTTTCCCTTTGGAATTTGCAGAAACAAACTACAGATCCCCATTTTTCAGCCGCTGAGTTGTTCACAGATGAGGCGAATTTCATAAGAGAGGGTATTTTCACTACAGGCGATGTACAGGCGATTTCAACAGCTATGTACAGGCGATGTCGAACCCTTGTGCGATACGTACTCGCGCTTCATGGACATGTTTTATGGTAAACGTATGGACCGTCATGATAGTGGATCGCCTCATCGGGCCATGCCTGTTGCCAGATCGCCTGAAAGTTGCAGACTTGATATTCTTGGAAAAAGAGTTATTAGGATCCGCTGCGACGTATCTTTCCCTGTGGTATTAGCGCGATGGAGCCCCGCCTATTTCAGCCTTTCTGTACGTAACCATATAAATACAATATTTGGCCAACGATGGATTGGCCGTGATGACCCAGCGAATTGGCCTACCAGATCGCCTGACCATGTATGGATTACTTCTTCTGGGGGCATATGAAATCTGTTATCTACGAATCCCCATTGATAGCACTGAGGACCTTATAGCAGGCATCATTGCAGCTATCTGGGAAATCCAAGACACTTCTGAAAGTTTGAGAATGTTTGAACTTCCATGCAGAGAAGATGTGAGGCTTTCAGCACGGGTCCGTGACACTTAGCCGACGGAACACATAACCGATACCACTTAGCCAACAGGATATTTAGCCGACACGGACACTTAGCCGACAGGTCATTGAGCCGACGCAGACACTTAGCCGACAGGCCATTTAGCCGACACGGACAGTTAGCTGACAGGACATTTAGACGACAAGGACACTTAGCCGACAGGAAATTTGGCCGACGCAGAGAGTTTGCCGTCAGGACATTTACCTACGGGACACTTAAATGTCAAGACATTTAGTCAACAAGATAGTAAGTCTACAGTGACGTTTGACTGACACGTACTCAATAATTATTTAATTGTAATTTTGTAATCTATCAATTACAAAATTTCTCGACTTCTCCATAAGTTTAATATTTAAGTTGTTTTTTTCACTTATCAGTAAAATTCATTTTTTGATTCTTAAAGATCTCATATGTGCTTTTAATTCCTTTTAATTTATTGTGTTAATTTAGCATTGTTTGATATGTATCGCGCTGTTTTGTGTATATTGGCCAAATTGAAAAAGGCCCTGAAATTTCTCGTCAGGGAAGATGAATTAAATTTCGAAAGAAAAAAAAAATTAGCAAACTTAATTACTAAAATATGGCGGTCACTTAATTACATTTTAATATGGGATCTTCAAAAATTATCCGTAAAGCTTCTTCATTTAATCAACTGGGTTCTTTTGAATACTTTCACATCATTAATAATTTTTCTCGTTTACTTAATGATATTAATTTTCCAGTCTCGCTCTTCCAAATGCTTTCAAGTTTCTAATACCTTTACGTTTCATTACTATTTTACTCAATACATCATGTTACATTCTTTCTCTTCCAAAGTCGTTTCGCTCCTCCCAGTAATGAAATTTCCCTTCCCTGTAATGAAAAATCTAAAAAATGCAATAAAAATTGTTGTTATTCTTGAATTATACTTTTTATAGAAACATATGGTGGTGAAGGGTTAATTTAGCAAAAATATTTTATTTTGTTCTTAAAAAGAAATTAGAAAAGGTAATTTTTAAGACAAGCAGAGGTATAAATTATTTGTGACCTCTATAATGGGCTGTTCATGCCGCCATTCTTGAGATTCTTGTGACATTTTATTGACCACACGTACCTGCTCCGATTTCCCGGCTGGGAACTAGCTGATGTTTGCTACTCTGATTGTCCTTAGGGGATTAGATCAATATAGTTTATTAAAGCTCAATTGGGCATAATGCATAAGCAATTAGCATTTTTTACTTATTACGTGCTTCGCCTTTAGGCACTAGACGGAAAGGGAGGGATGCCCCGTGGAGGTCTTTCTAAGGGAAACTGGCTCGTATCCACGTTACACATGGGGTAAACCACAAAAACGCCCATGCAGCTAGCCCGTTCACCGGGACTCGAACCCCGGACCGAACTACCAGTGTTCAGCGCTTTTACCGCTCGGCCGCTGATGGGCCAATTATCATTTAAGCATTGACCACGCCTCTCTTTTAAAATACTTAGGTTAATGTCTGGGCGACGCAATACATTAAACCTTGTATGGTAGAAATGAATGTGCCATTTCTGAAATTTCACATGAAGTGATGTAATTGAGATTAAAGTTCGGCAGAATTAGAGTAGAGTTTCTTCCATTATGAGTTCATTCATTCAAAATTTAAGAAAGGTCAGTGCTTGAATTAATTCAAATTTATTTATTTATTTATTTTTTATTTATTATTATTATTATTATTATTATTATTATTATTTTTATTTTTATTTTTTTTTTTATTTTTTTTTTTTTTTTTTTTTCTGTTTTGTTTTAAATCTTGTTGTGGCCATATTTCTTACTAGACATTCTTAATTTTTCAATTGAAAACTAACAATCAAGTTACTTAATCTTTTCTTTTTCTCCTGCTCCCCCTCGAGAAATCCTAGAAAAGCAATTTCTACAAACGTTTCCAAATCACTGTTTTTTTTTTTTTGTAATGATGTAGATTCATTTTTTTATTTAATTTTCTTTTTTAATTCAGTTTGTTTTTAATTTTCTTTTTTAATTCAGTTTGTTTTTAATTTTCTTTTTTAATTCAGTTTGTCAATTGTTCTCTGTCATGTCTAAATAATAATATTATTTTGTTATTTATGTTATTGTTATGAAATAAACTTAAATTTAGAAATCTATCTAAATTCTTGAATACAGGCCAGTTTTCCTTAAAATTTCCTCCTTAGCAAATAGCTCTTGTGACCTTTTTCGATTCTAAATAATCTAACTTATGTAAATTCGCAGATCTGAAGGCAGATCTCATAACAAGTACACAAAAATACATACTTATATATTCTTATGCATCTCTTATTGCTAAAATTTTATTGCAGGTTATTTATACAAATGAAGTTAAAAACTCGATGAAAAAGAAAATATTTAAATGAATAGTCTAACAATGTTACATATGAATAAATAATATAAATAAGTTGAAAAATTATTTTTCAGTTTCATCTAGTCCAGTGAAAGAAATGTATTTTTTCCGACCATTATTTTACCACTGAAGTTTGCAGAATGCGCGAGCTGACTTATAGCTAATGCTAGTTTCGCCCAATAGCCATTAATTGCGGGAATGAGCAAAATTTTTATTGCATCTGAAATTTTGTTGAAATATCCTTAATTTTGTTCTATGGTAGGTACTAAAAAATAACCTAAGTTAATAAATTTGCTCTCAGATGTCTGTGTCTATTTTTTTCGCAAAACGACATGGCACGCTTGCAGTTACTAAATCGTCAATCAAATTTTTCAATGAGTCTTTTACTAAACAGGATTTTTTTTCTGTATGGAGACCATGTAAAAAGTAAGATTATAATATATATAATTTATAATAATTATACATTTTCAGAAGCCTTTCCCCTCGCACTGTTGAAGTTGTTTTCATAACATCGTTTACCATTTGTATTTGTATGTGTGTTAGGATCAGTGTTTGAGAAAATAAAAAATTATAGCCATATTTCTTAAATTTTATTCATGATATAAGGACTAATAATGTGTTTTGTTTGCTTCTGCAGGTGGTACTAAGCAGCAATGTTACAATAGAAAAGTCTAGTGAATATCAGTTTTTGCATCCTTGGTTGGGAACTGGCCTTCTTACAAGGTGAGCAGTGTTCCATTTATAAAAAGTCTGTGAAAAATGAGCATTTTATTCTGTGAGTTCTTTTTAAAGTGTAATTTATAAATAAATAACTGAAATTCTGCATTAAAGATGCGAAACTACATTATCAATAATTGTACGCTTACCATTCGTAAAATTTGAGATCGTGATTCATATAGATCAGGAGGAACCGGAAAACTGTTAGAATATAAACGGTACACATTGAGGACTGAGTGCTTAAAACTGTAGTGAAAAATCCAAATTATTTCCAAGGCTGGATAAATGTACTTCTGCGGAGCGCATCCATAAACAATTCGGCATCCTTTAAAAAATGGAAACCAAGGCCGTTTCTGCCGTTTAACTTCCAACAACTTAAATGTTTCACTGCCGTGTTTCCAGAACAGTTATTTATTCACGGTTTAAAATTGCGTCATAAGTAAAGACCGTAGAAAGAGAAGAGCACATGTCATTTTTTTATAACCCAACAATGAAGAGAGCTATTTTAGCGTGTCATAAAGCTGCTGTAAAAGGTCTTGAAAAAAGAAAGAAAATAATGCTTCTAACAATGCTGCCGCATAACGTTTGCCGGCTTCTTCTTGATAATCTGTTGATAATTTCAGGAATATTTTAGCATTATTTATTTTAATCATGAGCATCATGAGCATATTAAGGATAACCATTTATTCGCATTTATTACAATCGACGAGAGTCTTTTTGAAAAAAAAAAAATTTATTTTGCGGTAGTATAATTTCAAAATATGCTTATTTTAATATCAGTTATGACTCTCTTACGTTTTAAAAATATTTTAGCCCAGTTGTATTCTGGAAAATGAGGATTAAAATCCACTGACTTCACTCTGAAAATCCGAGTATTATAATTGAATAACATACTGTTGACTGAATGCCTTATTAGTTATAACAGTGTAATGAAAAGAGGAATGTTTCCCTTGCGCTTCTAAGAGATGGTTAATTCGGCTCGCGACTTACAGCCAAAAAACAAATGAAAAACCGAATGTATTGGATTGTGAATTAAAAAATTCGGAAACTTTTGGTTGATTTTATTTGGATATGGCTGCATACTTAAGTGTACTGAATAAAACGTCCGAAAGCAACCAATGAATGATGTTTTAAAGACTAAAAACATTTGAAATTAAGGTGCATCACTGCATTTTTACTCTCGAAGTACTGATTTAATTCTTTCTGGATTTCTGTCTGCACAAAATCGTTTAAACAGCAACAGATGTACTGAATTAATTGCTTTTACTTCAGATAAGTTTGAAGATAGATTTCAAGATTTCAATAAACATTAACTGCATTTCAGTGTATTTGCAACTCACTTCTCGGTTAACATCAAACATATCGACTGACTTGCAATCAGATTACAGAGAGTTACAGTCTAATATGTAACATAAAGAAAATGAATTTAAGTGAGTTTTTAAATGTATTCGAAAAAGTAATTGTTGTTTTCGGTAAGCATATTTCGTGTCTCGTCGAAACAGAAAATATTGCCATTTGAGGCAAATATTTGTTGCCAGTCTTGTACGGAAGGAATCCTCTAAAATAAACACCCAGATACTAACGAATTATTGTTTTCTTTATTAAAAAATTGTGTTAGTCTACACGTGGCGTTAGCTTAAAATCAAATAATATCATAGCAAACTTTTCCTATCATTTGGTTTTGCCATTTTAAGCATTTCATTTTAAAAATATGATTTTATGTTATAATTTTTGCAATTTATGTATCTGTAATTTTGGGAAACTAATTGTTAAAATAGTAACATATTATTATGTTGATTTCAGTTTAATGTGTGGAGCAGTTTAAAGTTAAGCTTTTACGATAGTTTCATCAGATAGCAGTTTCTTTTCAATCTCATAACTCTTATGTTTTAATTTTTTTAATCATTTTAAAATTTTCGAAATTTTGATGTAGTATGTACTCTTTGAGATTTTACAAGATGAAGGCTTCCAGAATGTAATTTTTTAATGAGTGATTTCTGCTTACCAAAATTACTAGCGATTCAGATACATTTCTTATTCGTGTCACCTCTTGTTGAAAGCATTTTAGATCTTCGAGCAACTTTCTCCATCTATGGAGTATACAAAAAGTAAAAAAGAAAAGAAAATTCAAAAGAACATCTTGGATAGAGCTTTGGCTACGCCTTCTATCCAAATAGTTTTCAATAAACATGATTCTTACTGAAAACGGCAAATTCATATCCCTCTCTCAAGAAATACATTTTACATTAAAACATAATTTTAGAAGTATTAGTAAAATTGGTTATATTGTAGTTTCTAATATATATTAAGTTTAGATGTGGTTTTGGCGTATTTCTATTAGAGGCCTCAGAAGCGCCGGGTTAGATCCGTAGCATAAATAACATACATAATTTTGGTGTGTATATATTACGAGAAGGCGAATAAGCCTATCGGGGATTCGGAGCCGGTTGCAATAACGCCATCTCATCACCTGATATGGATGGTTTAAAAATGGCTGAAACATTAATCCTAATTGTAGGATATATGCAATAAAAACAGTAAACTCATTTGAAGAAAAACATTTAATGGCATCCCCAAACTATACGGACCTTGGGCACCCCCTCCCTCTGAAAAAACATAAACTAATGATAAACGTTCTAAACCAGGGGACTCTCTTCCGGGCGAGAATTACTTCCTAGGGGAAATTTCATAGTTTTTAAGGGAGGGAACATGCTCTCATTCTGACTCCACCTGCTTCTTGCTGGTGCCATTAAAAATAATCTAAACCAGTGGTTCTCAATCTATTTTTCCACAATGGTAAAAGTGGTTCTCAACCCCTTTTACCATTGCTAGAAGATCCTCGTCCTCGTTCCTTTCCAAAACTCGAAAATTACGTGCGCATTTATTTATGTTTTGGTTATTTTTTAACATGTTTCTATAAATTAAATGACAAAAAGTCGATAAAATTTTAATAAATAACAAAACTTAAATAAATTTTTTTTTTATTCATAAACAAAAAAATACTTAGGTAAATAAAAGGCTTACAATATCTTATTCCCCTAAAACTATGAAATCCCTCCCTGGTTGAGAACCCCTGATTAAACCTAAATAAATGTATATGTATTTTTTGAGTTTTTAAAAGAAAGTAAAAGAATGATCTTCTAGCAGTAGCGAAAGGAGTTTATAAAACAAAACAGTTTGAGAAACACTGTACTAAACACATCATCTTAACCCCGTCATTGCTAACCCATCGGAAATTCCTTATTGTTGTATCTAGTTATTTACTCCAGTGTATAAATGCAGGGAATTGACATGTCCCAATGCTAAGAGAGTTTCATAATGATTTCCGTATCATAAAGATACGGCACTACAAGTCGGTGACTATTCGTGAAGCTTAAGATTTTCCCACATGGGCATCCCGGTATTTTGGCGAAGGTCGCATTCTTGGTGATATAATCTTCATCAGGGTGCTTTGTACTTTTGTGTCTTATGTCGGGGCACTCTTGTGCCTTGACGAAGAATTACCAGTTTGCAAAAAGAAGGTGGCATCTTTTTGTTTATTTATCGCTCTGGTCAACGAGCCCCACCCGTTCCTATATACTACAATATTCTTAGAATAAAGCAAACTAAGTAAAGGAAAATGTTACTAAGAAAAGTTATGAGAAAGACAACATTCAGTATTATAGTGCATTTACCAATACCTCGGTTTACGTCCTTTCTGTGGAAAATAATCATCTGTCTGTTTGTAGCTTGACAAGCAAGCTCCAAAGTTGGATTATTCACTTAACTGGGTGTGAACTGAGGAGCCAGTCCGATTCTGTAGGCGCAGAGCCTCTCTCGAAGGCCTTTCAGAACTATGTTTCTCTTATTTAAGGGGAAAAATTTACAATAATGTGTATGACGAAGCATAGGACAGTTGTAAGGGTGTCCTAAAATCTGGAATTCTATAACCGGGTCTTGTAGGCTACGCGATAATAAGGCTGGTCGCACACTAATATTAAACTAGGAATGCCAAATACAAGATGCGAGTAGCAGCAAGCCACCAATTTATACCAACATAAGCAGTATCAGAACTATGTAACGGTATAAAATTTAAATACAGTAAAACATCTCTTGATCTCTTGGCCATCGCCTTCCTAAAGCAGTTTCTGAAATTGTCCTGTACAGACGAAGATAAATAAAATTACTTTTGAACAGCACCTTTATAAGGCGCCTACATCCACAGAAGATCAACATCATGTACATTGTGAGTGGTCGTATCAGGAAGTTAAAGAATAATTTGGTTACGGGTTTGCCTACGAGAAAATATTCCGTTATTACTTTTATAGAACTCGCTTCTGTCTTGCTTTTGTAATTCAGTGAAATACAAATTTATAGCTTGAATACAGTGAAATAATTTAAATATTTTTTATGCAGCAAAGGAGATAAATGGCGTTTCAGACGGAAATTATTGACGCCGTCGTTTCACTTTCGAGTGCTGGATGATTTCATACCCATATTTGATGAGCAGTCAATGGTTCTTGTCTCCAAATTACAGTCTGTCGTCAATGAACCATGGGTGGACATTGTGCCTCTAATAACAATGTGCACACTTGATATTATCTGTCGTAAGTACTAATACTGTTTGTATTATTATTTATCATTTCTAAATTATTTGACATTAAAGTACATACTGTGGTAGCTTAATGAACATTCGTTTGATGTTGATAAAACAGATGTTGAATTCTTGATATTGATGAAACTAACCCTTTCGCTTCCACGAAAATTTTTGTTTCAATGCAGTTATCTAAGTAATATATTTACACATGATATATTTCAAACCAATATATATATATATATATCAAAGTTTTTTTTAAAAAAATCACATAGTTAAGAAAAGCAGGAAATAAGTCTCTTGCTAACTAGGAAGGGTTCAAAACAACTCCATTCGACACTTCAGTTCAAGTTAAAGAAACCTCGTGTGGCTAGAACATGAACTCTCACGAATGCCATGTTTTAAATAACAATGAACTTTAAGTAAAATTAACCGTACTTGCTTGTTGCCATTCATTTTTTATATTCGCTATACTATTTGCATTTGCTGTATTAATTCTTTAATTCCTAGCGATAACATTTGATAGCAGCACCCTTTTATTTGAAAATGATTCGACTCTAGATTGACTCTAGATCCATCGGTATAAAATGTCTTAAATAAAAATTGAAACATTTTGGATTGTATTGTAATATAGTTTTCATTAAAAACTGTTGCAGGCTTCAAGTAAAATATAACTTTCGGTTGTCCATCAAAAACTATTATCGGGTTCGTGTAAAGTACCGCTTCTGATAGTTCAGTTTTACAAAAATCAACTCCTTTTATGAATGCAGAGAGCTTAAATACGGTAAATAAATATTTTTGGAAGTTGCATGTAAGAGTTATAGTGAACGCCAAAATCGTCACACACACGCACGCATGCACACAGACATCATAAAAAAAAAAGTGTTGTGGGGAGCCTAATTCGTGCTTATTCACTGAAAACTCATTAACGAAATTTTAGATCTTACATATGCATATAGGTTAGCCGAGAGGTAAAAAAAGTATTTGTATTTATAACAACGGTACGTATAGAGAGACAAGCTATTCTTCGTTAGTCTGTATTGTTATAATGTGTTGCTCAGAATTCGCCATTAAAAAAAGAGCCTTTCATTTCATTCCATTTTCATGAACTATAAAAGTAACTCTAATGAATGTTTGTTACACCGACGTTTATAGAAACTTATCATGGCTTAATGTAAGAATCGTACATCATACCTAAAATACACTTTAAATCTTTTCAAATATTTCAGTCGTATTGTTTTCATATTTACTATAAATCATATTTTCAAAAAGAAAATTTAATCAAATAACATGTTTAGGAATCTAAACGAACTTTAGATTCCTAAACATGCACGATTATATAAAAAAAAATTGGGGTTTATAATATTCTGTATTTGAAACCCTCGCAAATACTGTCGGCAGAAAACGTGCTAGGGAAGAAAATAACAGAAATGGAAAAAAGAACGCTGACAGCTCTGACTTCCTCAATATTTAATGTTAGTCCCCTTGGAGAAAGCATTTGAATAGCTGTATGAGTTGTCCATACATAACAAATTGTTTTAAAGTTCCAATTTATTAATGAATCTTTTTTTCTCTGTCACTGTTCAGAGACAGCCATGGGAGTCCGTATCAACGCCCAAGGAGGAGGCTGCAGCGATTATGTTAAAGCTATTTATGAGTAAGTAATTTGAAAGAAAATTTTATTATTAATTAATTTAAATATTTTGAAGGAAAAAAGATTGAAGTTCACGCTTTGACTGTGTAACGTTGCTCGCCTCCAACTTGCACGCAACCAAGGGGTGACTGTGAAAACAGGATAAAACACAGAGTCTTGTAAAGGGTTTAAGTCCCTTTTTATTCAACGTAATAAATTACAATTGCGTGCTCTTGACGCTTACAGACGGCGCCAACTCGGCGGTCAAATAAAAATAATAATAACCTGAAAAGAACTTAAAGACAAGACTCTAACTACGAGGCTCTCTAAAATAACTAACTCACCGCGTTTTACAACACCGCTGCTAATTCAGCAGACTTGAAGCTCACTTGGAACGATTAACACTACTTCCCGCCAAGCACATAGGCCGCAACGCGGGGTTCTTCAATTCTCGCTAACTACCTCCGCGCTCGTGAAGTAAGAATATCACACACCGAACTTGTTTCCTTCTATTTAAATCAGAATACTTCCGCTGATAATTTGAATGCTTGCGCGTTCTACTCAAATTTACATATTCTGGCATTGGCAGTTCCAGGGGAAAGTAAGGCTTGACAGGAAAGATAGTTTAAACTTAAAATAAATGTTAGTTAAAATAAATATAAACCCTACATTTGCCGCTGCCAGAATTTGGAAAACTTGGAAGCAGGTCCTACAAACGACCTGTTGTAAGTTTCTCTAATTCTGAACTAACTGGCGAGAACCTCGTTTACACAAAAAAAAAAAAAAATCTTATGTAACAATTATACTAAAATTCTGTTACTCGTTACAAAGCTCTTCTTCTTACAGCAACTTTTCCTGGACTTCATCAATCAATCTTGGTCTTTCCTTCCAGCATCTGGAAGGAATAAGTATCAGTATCTTTCTACATACATTATAATTTACACTTTCTTGACACAATAAATTTTTGTTTTTAAACGATTCGTTTTTCTTAGTTATTGCTTACTTCACATTCATTCAATTTTTCAAGCATTAATTTAACTTTACCCTGGCTCTCCACCGTGTGTGGTGTCAAACGGGAATATTCGTGTTTTAGTCTTACAACACTTCCCCTAACCACCATGATTTGTTAGAATTCAACGACCAAATAGACACACCTTACTCGACATTCTACAACTCAATGAGCTACTTTAATATTCTTAAAAATTCAAATGTAGGTGGAGAACCCTACAAAACACATTCATTCTAACTTCCCCCTCATTCATCTTTAAGCATGCAGGCTTTCGCTCTAAAGCATGACTTTATCTACAATTAAATACTTAAATTTTGACTTCATTGCTTTTAAGCATTCACTTTTAGCATCTACAATTTTATGCTTCTAGACTAAATTCTACTTTTACATAACATTCAAGTATTTACGTACATTTACAAAATTTTAATACATATGATTTTTACAATTTACCATAAAATGAATAAGAGAAAATAAATTTTTACTTTACTCATTCTTCGCCAAGCTGGCGGCACTGAAACTAAAATTCTTATTAATACAAGAATACGAAGTTATTTTTATCTTCGGCCAAATTTTGGCTTTAACATAACAGAATTAGTCTTTCGACCAACAGAAAATGCTTGTTTTTAGCTTTTACACTTAAAGAAAATAATACTTTTGCCTTAGCTAAATAAAGTAAAACAAAACTAAGTCTCAACCGAGACATATTGACTTTCGTCAAAACATAGAACTTCGTACTTATGCATAACATTTCGGAACAAAAGAGAAAAAAAATTATATAGAAGGTTTTAACTTATCTTTGAGTTTTCGATGCTTGAAACTCCGTCATTCCGTTTTTGACAAAATTGGTCCCAAGTTAGAGGTTTCATGGATGTCAATCTTCTCCTTATTGATCTCCGAGTGTCGTCCACCGTTGCTTTTTTTCTTTTGCGTCCTCTACATGCTGGCCTCTTGGCGGAGTAATCGTCTGGTTGTTGGCTTTCCGTTTTTTCCTGGGACGGCTGGTCTTGACGTCCTCCGGTCTGGAGTCCTTCTTGAATTTCTTCTGTTCCTCGTATTTTTGTGCCTCCTGTTGCCGTTTCAGTTTCCGGAACGGCGGCCTTGCTGGCACCTGACTCTGTGGCCGTGTGCGCGTTCTCCTTGATGTGAAATTTCTCCTGCCATCCTTTGTAGGTGGTGTTTTTCTCTTTACCACGGTTTCTTTACCCGGTTCATCTGTATTTTTGTTTTTCTTAAACGCTGGAGTTTGAAAATTATTTTTTCTTTTTGATACCGACGTCCGGGTTGTAGAAGGGCTAGGTCTCTCTTCAGTTCTCTGTTTCTTGGGTGGTGGAATAGTTGTTGTTGTCTCTGGACCTTCTATTTCGTTTAGACTTGAGTCCTGCAAGAAACTTTTAAGGATTTCAAAATCATTTGGATTATAGTATTTTTTCACCTGGTCGGGACTTGCTTTACAGATTTCCCCTCTCTCGTTCTTAAGATATAAGACTACTCCTTTGATTTCCTGAATTACATAGGGGCCTTCAAACTTTGGAGCTAGCTTTGCCATAAAATTGTCTGGGGCACTTGATAAAGAAAATTTCCGCTTCAATACTTTATCCCCAACTTTAAAATCTGCTTCACGGCGTTTTCTATCATAATATGTTTTCTGCCTATTTCTTGCCGTATCCGAGGTTTTAAGCGCCTGATCAATCAGTTTTTGCACATCTTTTGTTTAAACTCCTGCTCTCTTTGTTGCACAAAGAATAATTTATCTAAAGGCGTAATTAATTTTCGGCCTAAAATAATTCTGCTGGAGTTTTTTTTCCGTAGTATCATGATGTGCCGTTCTTAAAGCATAAGCTAATTCATTTATGTAGCCATCCCAGCGCTTGTGATGTGTGCTCACGTAACTTAACTGCGAATTATTTTTACTAATGTTTTTATTAACTCTTTCTGCTATGTTAGCCTGTGGTCTATACGGAACCATTTTGATATGGCGTATATCCCAAGTCCATTGCATATGTTTTCAAATATTTGACTAATGAATTGTTTTCCGTTATCGCTAATGACTTTTATCGGTGCACCGTATTTTAAAATGTATCTGTGTAAGAATGCATCTGCGACTGTTTTGGCTGACGCGCGTTTAAGTGGAACAATTTCTATCCATTTTGAAAAATGATCTACTATTACTAAAAGAAAACGATTTTTTTATTTAACTCGCTCTGGGGGAAGGGACCAAGGAGATCTATGCCTAAAATTTCATTCGGAAATGTAGCGCGAATGCTATTTAAGTACCCGGCCGGGCTGTAATTAATATCATTTATTAACTGACATTGATTGCAGGACCTGACATACGCCGTTACTATTTTGTATAATTGCGGGAAATATACCGCCTCGCGTACCCTTTTTAAAGTCTTTCTGACCCCGAGGTGGCCCGCTGTTTTTTTTTTCGTGCAACTCCTTCAAAATGCTTAATCGAAGCGAGGCTGGGATGACTGGCTTATACTCAAGATTTTCGTTTGTTGTTTTCGTATAGAATAATAAAAATTATCTATTATTTCATAGTTTTTTGCTCTATTTCTTATCGCATCGATATCTGTGTGCTCAAAGCTTTCGGGGTCTTTCAAATAAGCATAGATATTTCCAAATTCAGGATCAGCTTTCAGTTCAGTAATAACCGTATCTCTAGAATCTAAAATTTTTGAAGTCAACACAGCGCATTTAAGTTCATTTCCTTCATCGTCCAGTTTTATACGAGAAAGTGCGTCAGCTACATTGTTTTCCTTACCCGGTTTATATTTTATTGTGATATTATATTCTTGGAGTTTTAAAGCCCATCTTATTAACCTGGGCGTTAGGTTTTTTCCCCGAGTAAAGTCTACCAACAGCCGCATGATCCGAAAAGACTGTTACTGGCGATTTGCCGAAATAAACTCGAAATTTGTGTACAGCCATTAATACGGCTAATGTTTCTCTTTCTGTAGCTGTATAATTCCTTTGTGTCTGATTCAATGTTTTACTAAAAAAATGCCAGCGGGATGGTTATTTTGCATAAGAACCGCACCCACCGCATAGTCTGACGCATCTGCTGCAATTTCCAGGTTTTCGTCCCCCTCCGGGAATTTTAAAACAGGGGCATTAATAAGCGCTTCTTTTAATCTTTCAAAAGCTGTGTTAGCTTCCGCTGTCCACGTAAATTTACCCTTTTTTCTTTTGATTACTAAGAGTGGTTCAACAATATTAGCGAAATCTTTTATGAAAGATCGATAGTAAGAACATAACCCAAGGAAGGAAGAAAGTTTCTTGGCGGTGTTGGGCGGTGGGAAATTCTTAATAGCTTTTATTTTTGAATCTTGCGTTTCTATACCCTTTTGCGAAATTTTTATAACCGAGATATTTAAGTTCTTTAGTTGCGAACTTGCATTTTGAGGCGTTAATTGTAAGACCGGCCTCTTTTGATAATTTAAAAACTTGTTCTAGATCATTAATGTGTTGTTCCAACGTACTACTCGTTATAATTATATCATCTAGATAAATTAAAGTTGACTTTCCTAGGACAGGCTTTAGAACAATGTCCATAGCTCTCTGGAATGTTGATGGGGGCCCCACACAACCCAAAAGGCATGCGTAAAAATGCATAAGTGCCCGATTTTGTTATAAACGCGGTTTTATGTATATCTTCGGGTCTCATAGCTATTTGATAGTAGCCAGACGTTAAGTCCAAAGTAGACATATATCTTGTCGATTTGATCTGTCTAATGATCTCGTCTATAACCGGCAAAGGGTAAACTGGAAATTTAGTAATACTATTTAGTTTTCTGTAATCAATAGCAAACCTCCAAGCCCTTTTATCCGAAGGAGGAAACTCGTTCTTTTTCCTACATAGTACGACTGGACTCGCGTACTCACTATTTATGGGCGTTATTATTTTATTCTTTAACATCTCCTGAATATGTTCTTCGATGATTACGTCTTTTTGTTTGTCATAGCGATAAGGTTTAGTCCTACAAGGTTTTTCGGCATTTAATTGAATCTT